GGTGCTAACGACGCTGAGGGACGTAGGGAAGGCGGGGGAGGCGAAAAGATGATGGACGGACTGGAGGGGATCCCCGCACTCCGGGCAGGCGGAGCTAGTGGAGCGTCCGATCCTGGCGGAATAGGACGCCAGGAAGCTGCAGTATCCCGAGCGTAGCTGGGATAGCGCCGAGCGGTAGGGACGAGGGAGTGAGGCCTCCACTAATGCAATCGGAAGCGGCGGGGCTGCGAGGACAGCGTTTTTGGCGTCAGTCGCCACAACGCGCGAGGCGGTCTCCCTGCGGAGGGACCGCTTGGCCTCTCCGTAGGCACCGGCGGGCATTATATCATTAGCCAAATGGAGGCTTTCATGGGGCGGTCCCCGAAGGGAGCTGAAGCGACGATGCGGAATGAGGTATGGGAGGGCTGGAGGGCTCTGGCGAGGAACTGGGCACAGACCAGGTCTAGGTGAGCGGATAATGGGAGGACGCCGGTCTCCTGGTGAAGATGGGCGATCGGGGCCATTCTGAGGCAGCCGGTGGCTGATCTCAGTGCAGTGTTTTGTATCGTTTGCAGGCTGGCAATAGCTGTGCGTGAGGCGACAGGGTACCAGATGGGGGCCGCGTAGTTGAGGGGTTGGGCGCTTGATGGTTCGGTAGGTGGCAATAATGTCCTCCCTGGAGAAGCCCCAGTTGGTGCCGGCAAGGGCTTTTAGGATGCGAAGAGATCCCGTCGCTTTCGTGGCTATGGCTCCAACGTGAGGGGAGAACGTGAAATGCGTATCCCAGGTGACACCTAGGATTTTGGGGGTTTTATCCAAGGGGATGATACCGTTGCAGATTGTGGCAGCAGGGTGGAATCGAGATTGGAGGGTGTCTGGGGTGAAGAACATGACCGAGGACTTGCCAGGAGCCACGCCAGTTTTTTGGCAGCCGACCAATCAGAGACGTTTCGAAGGAGCATGGCGAGTTCAGCCTCAGCAGCGTCGAGCCTCGGAGACGACACGAAGATGGTTAGGTCGTCCGCGTATGAGGCAATGTTGGGGGTCGGCACTGGGATATTGGAGATAAAGTGGTTAAGAGGCCCGGCGAGATGACCGAGCCTTGAGGCACTCCCGAGTGAACAGCTCTGAAAGGCGATTGCGTTCTGAGATAGAGGCAGGATGCCTCTCTGCCTCTGAGGTAGCAGCACAGCCATCGGATCATGTTATGATGTAGGTCCGAGGCCGCGATCATGCTTAGAAGGAGAGTGTAGTCGACACTGTCGAAGGCTTTCGAGAGGTCGGTTGCAGCAGCGACTGTGCGGGCTGAAGGGCGCCGAGAGTTAAAACCCGTCGCGATCTGGTGCGCGAGCGGGAGGGGGGTGGTGACTGTGGAGTGTCCCGGCTTGAAACCATGTTGCGAGGGGACGGTGGTGAGGGATCCTAAGATTAGCATGAAATGAAAAGTCGCAAAATTTCAGTGAAGAAACAAATTATTGGCAAAGTATACATATGAAAAAAATTTTACCTGTATAAAGTGACTTTCAAATTTTTGTTACGTTTGATCGAATGGCATGAACGAAATTCTTAAAAGTATTTGCCAATTGCAAAAGTTTCGAATGTGATCTTATTTGGATCACACGTTCCCATTTGAATGTGTGATGCATAAATCCCAGATGATCAGATTTTCAGATAAGAATATTCAAGTCTAAATTTATCTAAATTCAGAGCAATAAAAATTGAGCATCAAATCAAAGTGCCAATTAAACATTATTGTTTATAAATGTCAGACCCGCATACAAATGACATAGAGATTACAGCAGCAAAATCCAAATAAATAACAAATTTCGGTGGAAAGGCATTAACAGAATCAAATCGAAGGCTCAAATCGGCAATTTTATTATCCTATTCTAGACTCATGGAAATGGGACTTGCAGATCAGAATAACAGAATCCAAGTTACTTCTAAGTTTGCGTAGAAAGGCGTTAACAATATCAGATCATAAGTAATAATCATCAAGTTTATTATCGTATTCCAGACCATAAACGTAGGCTACGATGTGGCCGGTCCCGCTTCACCTCGGTCGCGGTATTGAAAGCCTTGCTGGGGGCGACGAAGGTTGCTCCAACCGCCCCCGGGTGTCGGGTGACGCAACCGCGGCTGCCCGCGGCTGAAGAAGGCTTAGCCGTTAACGCCGCTGTATGCAGCCAAGGACCATCAATTCCGTAAATATTATGTGCACAATATTTGTATATTCACTCACACAATATGCACAATATTTGCATATTGTGTGTAATATTTCACATTGGCTGCTGGGTACATTAGCACAAACACGACAGGTTTTCTGAAGATCTTTTAAAAAGTAACCACAAGATTGTATTGAACATCAAAATAGTAGTGGGATTTTTTCGTTACCCATTTAAAATTTTAATAACCAAGCTCATTTTAAAACTGTTTACGAGCTCCCACATATACTATATGATGAGTGACCGATAATAATGCTCCTATATAATAGAAATACCGCGACAATTACAGAGGTCCAGCAGCCTGCAGGAGCTGGCCGCCATCCCTGAAGGCCGGCCCTTGAAAGTGAAACCAAATCACGGATGCCGGAGGCGTACTTGCGTATCCTGTCTTCCGCCGCAGCGCAGGTTTCGCTATAAAACTCGGCTGAATTTCGTCTGTTTTTTCACTTGTGCGTGAGGACCTACAGCGGTCACGTGTGGCCGCACCAGCAGCGTTCCAACCCTAAGCCTTTTACATTACAGTTTTGGCCTCCTGTAATCCGTTTGTGGCCTTTTAAAGTTCTTTTGGAATCCTATTATCCGCTTTGGACTCCTATAATCTACCTGTGGCCTCCTATAATCCGCTGTTGGCCTCCTATAATCCTCCTGTGGTTCCTGACGTGGGGCCAAATGATGACAGCGCTGCAGGTGCGTCGCGTTCAATGTGGTTCAATGCACTGTGAAAACATCCCTTTCAAACTTTTCACCGCTACTCGAACCCATCAACACCAACATCCACAACAAACGCAAACATACACAACAAACATAAACATCCACAACAAACACAAACATCCACAATAAACAAAAACATCCACAATAAACACAATCATCCACAACAAACTCAAACATCCACAATAAACACAAACATCCACAACAAACTCAAACATCCACAAAAAACAAAAACATACACAATAAACACATACATCCACAACAAACTCAAACATCCAAAGCAAACACAAACATCCAACATATTTGTTATCTCTATTACCGATGCAGTTAACTATTATAAATAAGTCCAGCAGTTATCTCAATCAATCGTCAGCTATGGAAAGATCGGGTTCCAAATAATACACTAGCTCATATTCCAAGAATTCAGACCGTCAAGATGTGGACAAGTTTCTAGTATACAGGGTGTCCAAAAAAACGATACTCAACTTTGAATGGCTGTAACTCGAAAAGTAATAGAGTTAAAAAAATTTGGAAGGTCAGAATTTGTTCTTCATGTTTTTCTGCATCTCTCCACCAAAAATCAGACAGATCGATGAAGCCAGAAGCGTTTGATGGAACTTTCAGTGACATGTGCTAAAATCGTGCTTGCGCAAAGTTTTAGTAAGATCATTTTGCATAATCATTACGATGTCTTGACATGTTTTCATGACTTGTTTTCTTGACATGTTTTATTTTTTATATCTTCGGTGAGAGACAATCATGGCAATCTTTGGTGAGAGGGAATTTCAAACCAAAGACTGCCTCTCACCAAAGATGGTCATGATTGTCTCTCACCAAAGATTGCCATGATTGTCTCTCACCAAAGATTGCCATGATTGTCTCTCACCAAAGATTGCCATGATTGTCTCTCACCAAAGATTGCCATGATTGTCCCTCACCAAAGATTGCCATGTTTTTGTCTCACCAAAGATACAAAAAATAAAACAGCGAAAAGAAAACATGTCATGACAACGTAATGATTATGCAAAATGATCTTCCGAAAACTTGCGCAAGCACGATTTTAGAATATGTCACTGAAAGTTCTGTCAAACGCTTATGGCTACATCGATCTGTCTGATTTTAGGTGGAGAGATGGAGAAAAACATAGGAAACAAATTCTGACTATTCAAAATTTTTAAACTCTATTACTTTTCGAGTTACCGCCATTCAAAGTTGAGTATCGTTTTTTTGGGACACCCTGTATAAAGACAAATTTCCGAAAATATGTCTTTGATATTATAAAACGTGAACTGTTTGGTGAACTTATGACTTTGCCATTGATTAATAGAACAAAAGCATTGGTATTATTTTCTTTGAAAGACGAATTATTGAATTATTTTGTGAATCTGCGACCCGTAATCTCTTTTTCTGACTACCAACTGTACACTAATTCAATGTAAATAAACGGTGAATTGAAATATCTTGTCAGAAAATTTACTCAATAATTATACAAGAGTGAAAGTTTCCTGCCGATATGGAAGCAATTAATTGTTCTTCTAACAGACAGTCCCAAACCCCTCAAAGTATTCTGATGTGCTAGCAATGAAAACCGAAACAAATACAAACATATTTGTTATCTCTATTAATGATGCAATTAACTATATCAAGTGTTGACTCAGAAGCACTGAACTATTCAATAAAGAGTCGATGTTTATGTTTTAACGCCCAATGTCGTTAAGACTTTGTGACTTTGAGTCTGAAAGTTTTTAGTAACCGGAATACACGTAGCAGCCAACGTTCATGTTGCGACCAACGTTTACGTAGCGGCTGGTTTGTTGTCTGTGATTGGTGTATTTAGCTTAAAAGGACGAGAAAATTGTGAGAAAAGAAAATTACTATGTTCTTTTCAACATTACACTCATGATTTTTGAAGCAACAAGACACTTGTGTGTATGTTCGGTTGAAGGATAGTCTCTAAAAACAAATGAATAATTTGTCATTGGCGTTTCTATTTTTGGTGTTTTTGCCTTAAAATTTCACTCGCGATGTATTATTGTATTTAAAACTTGTTTTGTATTTGTTAATAAGACGTTCCATTTCTTCAATTCNTCAACAAAAAAGACACTACTCTGATCAAAACGTCGCAATTCTCTCCTAAAGCCTCCGATGACGGAATGCATATTACATACAACAGATGGAAGCCAATAATTGCTAGGTCTAATCATCGAAAATTCGAACCTCCAATACCTGTTGACAGTTATAGGGCCCCAAACCAGAAGCAAAGCATATACGTGGTTCATACGCCGAAACCACGAGTTGGGGAAACAGATTCTTATCACGATGTACCCCAAGATTCTTATCAGGAGCTAAAAGAGCTTTCTAAGCCGTCCCACCAGCCACTTTACAACCCGATAATTGAATCACCCAAGCCTCAACCACTTTACAACCCAAATATTGAAGAACCCAAGCATCAACCACTTTACAACCCGAAAATTGAGCCACCCAAGCACCAACCACTTTACAACCCGAATATTGAAGAGCCCAAGCACCAACCACTTTACAACCCGAAAATTGAAAAACCCAAGCATCAACCACTTTACAACCCGAAAATTGAATCACCCAAGCACCAACCACTTTACAACCCGGAAATTGAATCACCCAAGCACCAACCACTTTACAACCCGAAAATTGAATCACCCAAGCAGCTACCATTTTACAACCCGGAAATTGAATCTCCCAAGCACCAACCACTTTACAACCCGAAAATTGAATCACCCAAGCAGCTACCATTTTACAACCCGGAAATTGAATCACCCAAGCAGCAACCACTTTACAACCCGAAAATTGAATCACCCAAGCACCTACCACTTTACACCCCGAATATTGAAGAACCCAAACATCAACAACTTTACAACCCGAAAATTGAATCACAAAATGTACAATCACTGTACAACCCAAAAATTGAATCCTTCTCGCAAGAACAACTTCTCAATCCCGAAAATAAAAAACTTAGACATCAACCACTTCAAAGCCTCAAAATGGAGCACCACGAGCCTCAACCGCTTTACAACTCCAAGCCATCAGAAAACATCTTCAAGTCGCTTGACCACCTAAGTAACAATCATCCCATTGATCAGGTTTCCTATGATCAACCCAGCTACAAGCCTCCTCACAATCAAAAGTTGAAACAGCCCACCAATCAGTTTTTGTACAGTCCCGCTTTTGATCAGCCCAGTTACAGGCCTCCTCATAACCAAAAGGTGGAACAGCCCAGCCATCGGCCTTTTTACAGTCCAGCAATTGATCAACCCAGCTACAAGCCTCCTCATATTCAAAAGCTGGAGCAGCCCAGCCATCAAACTTTGTACAGTCAACCAATTGATCAGCCCAGCTACAAGCCTCCAAATAATCAAAAGTTAGAACAGCCCAGCCATCAACCGTTGTACAGCCCAGCTATTGATCAGCTCAGCTACAAGCCCCCAAATAACCAAAAATTCGAACAGGCCAGCCATCAACCGTTGTACAGCCCAGCGATTGATCAGCCCAGCTACAAGCCTCCGCATAACCAAAAGTTAGAACAGCCCAGCCATCAACCTTCGTATAGTCCAGCGATTGATCAGTCCAGCTACAAGCCCCCACACAGCAAAAAATTTGAACAGTCCAGCCATCAGGCTCCCATTAAGCCAAAAATTGAACAGTTCAATCATCAACCAATGCATAGTTATAATATCGAACAGTTCAGCAACAGGCATCAATATAACACACGAAAAGAAACGCTTAATTCTCAACCTGCCTCTTACTCCAGGCAGGAAAGCCTCGTGCATCATCTTCCCTACAACCCAACAGTAGGACCGCCGAGCCTTCAGCCACTCCAAGTGCCCACTCCAACAGAGTTCATTCATTTGCCTGAGATTTATAGCCCAAAAAAAGAACTGCCCAAAACGCAGTCTCTGCCAAATTATCAGTCCTCGTTGATACACTCTGCTCCCTGTCATAGAGCGAACGGTGGGCATTTGCAGCTTGCCGCCCCACAGTCCGAAAAAAAATACGATTGCCTCGATGGTTCAAACTTTCCACTGTTAACCGAGCCCACAAACACAAACATTCAAAGTGCTGTAAATAACTACAATAATTACGACACAAGCTCATTTTCACAGGATTCTGACCGTATATATGTGGACCAGCTCCTCCTGTACAACTATGAAAATCTTTCAATGGATAGGTTTAGTACAGAGAAGTTTATTACTGCTCCACCTCAATACGGAAGTCGTCACCAGAACAGTGAAATGCCCGAGTTTGAAAGTCCAACATATCCTGAGCCAACTAGTCAATTGAAACCAAACCTGATGTCTTCCAGCGAAATGTCGCAGCAGACATACGGAAAGCCCACCGCCAAAAATTTGCATGCAACGAGATCAATGAATCATCTTGATTACAAGTCAATTGCAAACTCTTATGGATACTCTTTTATTGATCTTTCTAGCAAAGGAGACCAAAAGGTAGCATTAGTCTATTTTAACGATCGCCAGCACTCCGGAGAATCTTCCAAAAAAATGAGCGGAGAGAGTCCCATACGGAACGCGATCTTGGAGCAAAGCAGCCGAAAAGATCAAAATAAATTACTAACCGGTCATTTTAACCCTTCATTTGACTTACCACCTGATGATAAAATTTTGAACTCTGGATCATTGATGAGAAATCAGGGCTACGGACGAATAATTGACACAGGACCCGAGAAGGCTTATTTAAATGTTCAGGACACTGAGGAGCGTAGCTTGGGCAGTAAAGGAAGCAGATATGTTCAAAACAAAGGAATTGATATTTCTCACAATCAACTCGCGTCAAAATACGGTGTTTACATCACATTATTGAAGCCTGCTATCAACCGTGAAATATACCTCTAAAAATTTCATTATTAGTTGGCTGAACTCGTGTCAATAGATAGCATTTTAGTTAATTCATGCTTTCAAATCTTCAATGACCGCGAAGTGTTTTAGAGTATACTGTCCGTATGTTTTAATATTAATACATGTTTTTTAGTTGTTAAGCATAAGGTAATGGAGTTGTTCGGTGTTGATTGAAATTATTCAACTAGGAAACGAGTTATGTTTTCCGTGTTAAAATTAATTGTTGAACAGCATTGCATATGTCGACCGCGATGAGAAAACTGTCTTGCTCTTATCTACAACCGATTTTCTTTGCCAAAAAAATATAAGCGAGCATTTGTGAATTACAAAATACTGCTCAATGTTTGTCTTTGGTAATTGTTTTAATTTTGAAGATACTTCTCACCATCGCATTACACTGTCATGGATTGCCAAGATGCGACTTTATTCAGCTAGAAATCGAAATCGCATATGCGAATTGTTACCCAATATAATCAATCCTATACAGTATAGTTGTTAAGCATAAGGTAATGGAGTTGTTCGGTGTTGATTGAAATTATTCAACTAGGAAACGATGTATGTTTTCCGTGTTAAAATTAATTGTTGAACAGCATTGCATATGTCGACCGCGATGAGAAAACTGTCTTGCTCTTATGTACAGCCGATTTTCTTTACAAAAAATTTAAGCGAGCATATGTGAACTTCAAAATACTGCTCAATGTTGATCTTTGGTAATTGTTTTAATCTTGTAGATACTTCCCACCATCGCATTAAACTGTCATGGATTGCCAGGAAGCAAGAAATCGAAAGAAATTCAGAAATCGATTTTATTCAGCAAGAAATCGAAATTGTTACACAATATAATCACGACTTCTTGTTACACACGAATTGTTACACAATATAATCAATCCTAGCAGCAATACTAAGCTCAGAATTGAATAATGAAAGTTTTCACTTATTAAACGATTACTTTTTTACGTCAAATGTGAATATTGCAAGACACCCAGAGAGGAGTAACGCTCTCGCGGAACTTATTGCGGTGACTTGACTCCGTTAGTATTAGAACACTCCTATTAAAACTGTCTGGAAACATCGTTACCATGCAGGAAGCGTTCAATTGCAGGCAGGTGTTTTGTACAGACTTCATTGTAAGACATTGTTTTTCGGCCTAAAATTACAGTAATAAAAACTGGATTAAATGATTTTTATCTTGTCCCTTATAACGATTTTATAGTTCTGATACAGAAACAAACTTAGACTTGAAAATTTACAAACTTACTTAAACTTTTTACTGTACTTTTTGGTGTACTGGAACACAAAACAATTTAAAAGATATTTTCAATATATAGTGTAGTCGGGATTTATAATAATTACTGATGACAGAGATCGCCACAATTTAAAACTGTTCGATCATTTCCCATTAAACAGGAATTTACACCCTAGTTCTTAAAGCATAATGTACACTTGTCTCTGTCCGTTACAGCACCCTAACGAAACTGAGAAAATTGTCCAAAAAACAATCGAGGCAACGCCTGCCTATAACATTACTTGCAAGGTTTGTTCTCTACGGTGCACTAAGAAGACCAATAGACTTGTGAAAATTAAACAGCATTAAGTAGTTAGTTTTTAACCTATTTCCAAAAGTTATAAAAAAATAATGTTTTAGTTGAGCTGAAGGATCAGTATAAATGGCAGTATTAATAAACAATAATATTGTTTATGTTATAATATTGTTTATTCTTTACTGCAGGTTTAAACTGCCAGCATCGGTGTGTTCAACATTATAAACTGTACTACAGTATTGTACTGTGTAAACTGCAAACTATAAGCTATAATTTTCATACAACACTCTTATCATTCTGTGATGTTTCATGCAGGGGAACGACGTGGGAATGAGAATTCCAATGTTTAGGCACGTTTTAATATCGAAGATTCCAACTCCTTGCACGAACTACGCACAGGGCGTCTAGTGAGGAGGAGATACCATCACAAGCTCTTCCAAAAGACCCATTAAATATTAAGTTAGTTGACACCATACGAGACACGTTTTCCCAAAATGAAAAAATACGTTAATTTTGTTTTCTAAAAGCTGTCTTATTATATTTATTCAAGTACTATAATCACTTGATTGTTTAAATAGCAAGTTAATTAATGAATTTACATACAAGAAGATGACAAAATAATTCACCATATCTTTATAAATGAAAAAGTTTTGGAGTCCAGTTCCATCATCAGATCGACAAAGCTAGAAAATAAATGTAATCAGTTTATAAACCAAAATTCAAAGTCAATATATTAAACCATAAAATTTACAAATAACCCTAACAAAATTCGGGGAGCGCCTAGGCTTCGGCTTAATAGTCACTACACTCAACGCAAAGTTATTCTGGGCTTGCTCGGACACCCGATCGAAATCAGTTTCTGGTCAGAATCTCCTCTCCGACTTTATAGTCGCCTGAGAGAATAACAAGGGTTGGCCGAGCCGAGTCATACCGAGCTAAGAAACTGCCCAGAAGCAGACCTCCGAAACATGAGCCTAAGTGGACATAGAGAAGCTGATTTACGTGCGGTCAGAGTCCTAGGCGACCCTAATGCAGGGTCGCGCATGCCTTTAAATTTTGTTAGAGAGAAGACTAATCAAGCTAAAATATCACACAGCGTCTTGCTGCGTTGGTTATAAACTGATTGTGTTTACTTTCCGAAACGTTGTCTTTTATAATGATATGGTGAATTTCTGTAACATTTTATTTGTTTTCAAATTCCATCTTATATTTCTTTCCCGGTTCTCCAAAATTATTTGTATTGTAATTTTTCTACGATCGTGACAGCAGATAGCAATCCTTGCGGGTTAACAATGCTAACAGGACGAAATCCGAAGCTTATTTCATGGATTTGAGGAGACTAGCAATTTTTCTGACAAGCAACTAAAAAAAAGTTGCAAGGTGTTTGAAATTCAACCCCAAAAAGTGTAAGCAAAGTGCCCGTAGGGGTGCATGATAGGGACACTCGCATATAGAGAAACGCGCACGTTTAGGAGCTTATGCCATTAAACAACGTCCAGTCAAAGTACTTGTTCCTAGTTCAACCACACAAAGTGATTGGGTTCCCGGCAACAGTACAAGCAAGAGACGCGGTTACAGTCTTTCCGATGTCAGCAAAGCTGGTGTAGGTTAGAGTAGTGAAGATGGTGGCTGGGTAGAACAAGATGCGGCCGCTGTTCTTGCCCTCATCAGCGTCACGAGTTAACAGAGAAGATGCCAGGTCTGGAGCATCTCGTAACGTCAGAATTGGATTTATTTCCCTGAGTTTCGGAAGAGTGAATTTAGATGCAGGACTCGGACACCTCACAGTTCAGAAATTTATACTGTACCACGACTATTTCTTGAATGCTAGTAAAATATTTCATTTATTTCAACTTTAAAAAGTCTATTTTCACATCTTTCGACGCCCAAAACTTCATTTAAGTCAAATTATGCGATCGAGTCATTTATCAGACATAGAAAGGAAAGCACTAAATCTTCAACTTACTAGAATTAGGAGAAAATATAACGATGCCTCCATTGGGAAGGATATAACGAATGTATGCTGAAAAACGTCGTTTTCATTCGTAGAACGCTAACATAAACTTAAAGAAGCAACTTCTTCTCATACATTTCCTTGCGTAAATAAATTGTAGCCCCAAATAAATCTTATGTAAAATATTGAGGAGAGAAATTGCTTTGTCTAAGGATAAATTTTCTCACCGCTTAAATATTGCATGGACATTTCGCCTCCTCCTCCGCCCAGCGCACGTTGTGACGCTATAAGCCCCAACGCACTGCACCACCGTCGAGCTCGTGAGCGTCACCACGCGCGTGTTGGTAGACGTGCCCAGGAAGAGACGCGCCCGAGGCCCGTAGCCTGAGATTGTGGATTCAACAATTAAATTTTCATAAAATACGCATTTTGTTGAATAATAATATCTCCTTCATTCATTGTGGGGGTAATAATGTATTCGTATGTCAGAAACTTGCCATCATAACTTGCATAAGTTGCACTCCTAAGTTATAGGTCGCATAAGTTGCATAATACAGAAAATTTGGAAAAGATGGAACTGAAGAATCACAACGTGGACATAGCCGAAATTGCTAGCGAAAGCTCCCGCGAATTACTAGACAGAGAACGAAGGAAGTGCAACCTTGTTTGGTTCGGCATTCCCGAAAGCACCGCATCTGAGACGAACGAATGTGTGATGGCCGACAATAAGTATGTGGCAGACTGTTGTAGTAAAGCACTAAGCACACCGGTTGATATTGCATCGTGGAAGAGGTTGTGCTCCAAGAATGCTGCTATTAACGCCTGCAGACCTCTATTGGTGACTGTGAAGGATCCGGCCCAGGTTTGGAGCGTGCTGAAAGCAGCGAAAAAATTATGAGAAACTGTTGAATTCAAGTCTGTTTTTGTGAAGAAGGATTCCACCCCTTTAGAGAGGGCGGATTTCCGCATGAAATGGCAGGAGCGAAACAGACGCATAAACACGGAAAATCATGTCAACACCATTCAAGATCTTACGAGGACTCCGACCGCTCGCCGACAGTCAGGGGAGATGGAAGACAATTAAATAGTGGAAATCATGCATATAAATCCAGTTCTGTAAATAAGGTAAAAAGTTTACTCATACATCAAGATTCATGATGGTCCATTACATCCAGGGCAGTGGTGGTCTTCGGCAGGCAACCCATAGCGGCATCCCACAGCACCACCGTCGAGCTCGTGAGTGTCACCACGCGCGTGTTGGTAGACGTGCCCAGGAAGAGACGTGCCTGAGGCCCGTAGCCTGAAATTGTGGATTCAACTCTTAATTTAAATGAGATGAACATATTACAACGCATGCATGTCGTGGACGAAAAATATGTCCTCGAGATTGTGTTCTTCAAAACGTACAATGTATACGTCGTTCCGTGTTAATTTCACATTAAATATTGAAGAATCAAAGTCATAACATAACATAGTGATGTCGGCGCTGAAGTGTAGGCCTGATGTGGCCTGTCGCCGAATCTTTTCCTTTTCGTGCCTTGTTCATAGATCTAAA